ATATATATATATATATATATATATATATATATATACAGTGGTCGGTCGTATCTATAAAGAAAAAAATTTGTGTGAAAAATATTTTTTGATTTAGGTATCATTTTGATTTGTATAATGTCCACAAAATTGCCTATGATTAGTTTCGTTGAGGTTGAACTGGAATATCCTACATAAAAATAGTCTGCGGCCAGCACTACAGATAGTAGGCTTGTTCGAGATGCACTACACTAGCCTGCCACTGGCAATTGCAATTGGGGCGGAATTAAAAGCGGCGACGTCAAGTCGGACAATAAAGTGGGGGTATATATGCTTTTATCAGTGTTTTTAATAAAAATGACTCAAGATAACAGTGCGACTACACTAAAAAAGCTTTTACTGTTATAAAAAACAGATTTGTGAGCATTATTGGAATTGAGTTGTTAGAATTAGCACGCAACACACGTCGTGCTTGTCATCACAGAATCTGACCAATGAGAATAAAGTGTGTCGTCATCAAGGCTCTCGCAGCCGATTTTGAGCAACTGCAGTGCCTGACTTAGGCGGCTGGTCTCGTTTTGCTCTCGCGGTACTTTGATGACACATGTGATCAAAGTCGGACAAATGTTAGGTGCGTTCGACTTCATGCAGCACTGCGCAGATCGATCACAATCTGCCTTGAAGCAGTGTTAGCGTTGGGTCGTTCTTGAACGATTCGTTCATTTTGAACTAATCTTTAATGTGACTCAGGAAGAACGAGTCGTCTCGGGGAGTGATTCGTTCAGTCGCGCATGCACAACGTCCTATAGGTTCTGTACTGGAATTAGTCAAGTATTTCACCTGTTTCGAGTCTTCGGATTTTCCGAGTCGTTAATTCATCACGTGACAGACCCATAAGCTTAACCTATGCAGTCTGAGCCGGAAAGAGACTTAATAATAACCAACGCTTTATTACCTTTGTTACAACATTCAGTGTTATGGAAAAGAACCATCATGACAGAAATTCACACAAGTAAATAAAAAAAAAGTAAAAAGCTACAATTTGAGACCAGAAATGCATCACCTAACCGTAAGAGTAAATAATAATTATTATAATAATGATAATAATAATAATAATAATAATAATAACTAAGCACCCATTTGTAAGGAAGCTTGTAAATTAACTAATTTCTCTATCCAATGCTGTCACGTCACGTGACAAAAGAACGAACGATTCGAAAGACTCGAGAGATGAACTAATCAATTCTCTTTCTGGCTCAGACTGCATAGGTTAAAGCTTATGGGGCTGTCACGTGATGAACGAACGACTCAAACCCGAAGACTTGTCAGATAAGAGGTGAGGTGAGCTAATCATAGACTGAAGACCCAGGTAAACAATGAATTCATCTTTTCTGTTTCTTATAGCATTATAATTTTGTATTGTTTGTAGTGTAATCAACGTTTGCGTAAGTAGTAGGTATGTTAGGGAAGTAACAAGTAACATTTTAATTATATTTGGCTAAAATGAACGAAATTACTTGAAAAAAGATTTGTTCATTTTGCTGAACGAGACTCAAAGGTCCGAGTCGGTAAAACGATCCGAACTTCCCATCACTACAGTGCATGCCGTTTAGTAATTTTGTCCGACTTGAGACAGCGCCGACGCCACGTCACTGTCACGTGCGGCATCAAAGCACCACGAGAGTGTTTCGAGAGCAGCCGGCTGACCCAGCTGGCACAGTTTCTCCAGAGCGGCTGCAGGAGCGTTGATGACGACACAGCCATTTCACGATTGGCCAGATTCACCGCAGGACAACTATCACGTGTGTTTCGGGTTTATTCTAACCTTTCCAATTCCAATAATTGCCACAAATCTGTGTTTTTAGAACAGTAAAAGCTTATTTACTGTAGTCGCAATGTTTTATTGAGTCACGTTTATCATAAAACACTGATGAAAGCATACATTCCTCCACTTTATTAGTATTTAAATAGTATATATTTATAACTTTATTCTTGAACAGATGGCGATGTATTAAGCAGTATATAATCAGTATACATCTGTTGCTCATGAAAACGTTTCTGAAACGTCTGTATATTTGACAAATAATTGCATTTAATTCACTTAATCTTTGATAGAGTATGCAAACACCGCGCAAGCATCACTAACGGGAGCAGAAAGTAGGCTTGTTTGAGATGCGCCTTGCTTCGCCTGAAATGTAGGCGAGAGTAGGCGGCTGCAGTGAGGGGAGGAGTGAAATAAGCGCATTCAAGACGGACAGTTCTGCCCTCTCGAAGTGAACAGATACCAACGAGATCAAAGACAGATAACGTGTTATTCTCACTCATGGGCTGTGCTGCTGATTAACATGATATAATTTCAGTTCTGTTGTCTTTATATAAAAATAAATCAGATGAACAAGACACTCAAAGTGCTTGCTATTTAATTCCATACGAAAGGTATATTTATCATTCATTTTTACTTTAATACAAACATGTATTTTAGATTTTTATAGAAATATGACAACAATCACATATCTCACACAGAGATCACACTGTCATAGTGTTTGGGAATATTCATGCATAATTTAAATACTTAAATCACATGAAACCAGATAAAGAAATAATTTTTTTTAGAAGAGAACACAGCATCACGGTTGTCTGAACCAATGAGCATTAAGCTGTGTCGTCAGTCAGTCGTTTCCCATCATGCTTTTGATCAGCGCAGTCGGTGGAGAGCAACTGCGCCCGACTGCACAATCCGACACAGCCGCCTCGCCGTCGCGAGAGTTTTTTGGCACACGTCAGCATGACATCAGAGCAAGTCGGACGTAACTCGGACACTTTTCTAACCGGCATGCATGTCGCGGTGATCGCCGGTGATCGGTTCTGCAAAGATTTTGCTCATCTCAAACAAGCCTAATGATAGTGCTAAAGATGTCACATCTGATTTGTAACAAGCATGTGACAGAATCATCAGCCAGTCAAATATTGACATTCAATCACAGCACGCCTTCTGGGTTTAACGACGTGCCCAGTCCCTGGCGTGAAAGTGAAATTCA